CATGGCTTACCTTATCACACAGCTCCAGTGAAGCCTCTTGCTTACAGAGGTTGGACATTGATCAAATGCACGTGAACCATTTCTGGGGTTTTTATGACTCATACAGTGGTACTAAATTGAGATTGGTATTTTTGACTGATTGTCTGTTTGTTTCATATCTGAAAAGTAGTTAAAACGCTATCAGTTCCACTTTAAGATGACTAGATGTATTTCGAAAGATGAGACATTGAGGGTTATAATAAATCCCACTTGGATGTCATACAAGCAAGCCAAACACGTGTCCAAATTTGCACTTAACATTTCCAAATCATAACACTCATGTCATTTACATATACAGTGTCAACGTTTCTGATCACTATGTTTGATGTACAGTTACAAGATGGCCAGTGGTGTAGTGGTGCCTGGAGAAGTGGGTATACTCTAAATTCCAAACAGCCCGCCCAGCTATGGAAAGTTGCCCTGTGTAAAAAATTATATGAGAAACTATGACATACACTCTGAATGACCTAAAATTATAAATCCCATATTGGTCTTTCACAGTCAGGCCAACCCAAGCTGTACTGTGCCAGTAGGCTAATATTAAGCCTACTATTGAAATAGATAAATGAGGCTGTCAACTGAGTCCGAAATCAGTTTTCGCTCTCAAAATCACACTTTTCTTTAACAGAAAAACAACAAAATTGTGTGTTCTAAGTCCCTAACAATGCTTGAACCACATCAGGAGACCACTTGAGGTAGCATTGCTATATTTTTCCTGTTCCTTAAATTGTTTGACACCTGGACGTTTTACTTCATATTATGAGGCATGTCTTACCTTGCTTCAAAGTAGCACCATAGAAACGTGGAGGCAATTCATTTTATATATACTTCCTCATTTGCGTTCTCCTGTTCTATTGGTTTTCTTTCCTTTCTTTCATTGTCTAGCAGCCAAAGGCATTATCCTAGTCATATTAGCAACACATGATAGTTGTTGCATCTTTAAACCCCCCCCCCCCCCCTTCTAAATTTCTAACGGATATTTCTATCTCTGTCCATGAAACCGGTACGCATTTTAGAACAGTGTTTTTCCGCAAATGCATTTTGGAACGTTCATGTGGTGGTCTACAGCTGTGTGACCACCCGGGTGGGTGGAGTTCGTACATTTTATTCAATTCCGTTGGGGAGTGGGATGTCTCGCTTGTCTCTGGTGAAGTTCTTGATTCACCTGGCTAGACCAAGAGGTTATGTGGTGGGGTCCAGGTGTGGCCACTATGAAAGACGGGAGACCACGTGGCACCTAGGGTGGAGAAAGTGAGATGGATGGGATGGGAAGGGAGAGGAGTGTACCTATACCTACAAGTGCTGTCAATATAATATCAAGTCAAATGTGAGCGTGTGTGTCAGTTGCTACTCAAATAATAGTCCACCTCGGCTAGTAGAGTGATGAACATGGCTCCTACTTCGGCTGGCGGACTTCTTCCTGGCCTCAGCGATGGTCAGCAGACTACACAGAGGGGTGAAGGACAGCAAAGGGTTCTGATAGGTGCTCCTCCTACAAAATAAGTGTTGAATACAGAATAAAGCATCTGTATGTCCACTCACCCACATCTACTAATCATAGACCAGGAGGTATATCTGAAGTTATAGAAAGGATGAGGGAGAGAGAGAATTTGCCATCAGAGTAGGAGTGCTGATATAGGATCAGGTCCACTCTGTCCATATAATACTAGTATTCATTATGATACTAGTATTCATTGTTCTCTTGGGTCAAAGTGGACCCTGTACATTAATCAAATATGATTAGTACTGAAAATCCATATGCGCATGTACTAAACTCAGCAAAAAAAGAATCCTCTCACTGTCAACTGTGTTTATTTTCAGCAAACTTAACGTGTAAATATTTGTATGAACATAACGAGATTCAACAACTGAGACAAACTGAACAAGTTCCACAGACATGTGACTAACAGAAATGGAATAATGTGTCCCTGAACAAAGGGGGGATCAAAATCAAAAGTAACAGTCAGTATCTGGTGTGGCCACAAGTTGCATTAAGTACTGCAGTGCATCTCCTCCTCATGGACTGCACCAGATTTGCCAGTTCTTGCTGTGAGATGTTACCCCACTCTTCCATCAAGGCACCTGCAAGTTCCAGGACATTTCTGGGGGGAATGGTCCTAGCCCTTACCCTCCGATCCAACAGGTCCCAGATGTGCTCAATGGGATTGAGATCCGGGCTCTTCGTTGGCCATGGCAGAACACTGACATTCCTGTCTTGCAGGAAATCACGCACAGAACGAGCAGTATGGCTCGTGGCATTGTCATGCTGGAGGGTCATGTCAGGATGAGCCTGCAGGAAGGGTACCACATGAGGGAGGAGGATGTTTTCCCTGTAACGCACAGCGTTTAGATTGCCTACAATGACAACAAGCTCAGTCCGATGATGCTGTGACACACCGCCCCAGACCATGACGGACCCTCCACCTCCAAATCGATCCCGCTCCAGAGTACAGGCCTCGGTGTAACGCTCATTCCTTCGACGATAAACGTGAATATGTAAAGTTTTGTTCCCATGTTTCACGAGCTGAAATAAAAGATCCCAGAAATGTTCCATACACACAAAAAGCTTATTTCTCTCAGATTTTGTGCACAAATTAGTTTACATCCCTGTTAGTGAGCATTTCTCATTTTTGCACAGGTGTGGCATATCAAGAAGCTGATAAAACAGCATGATCATTACACAGGTGCACCTTGTACTGAGGACAATAAATAAAATAAAAACACTAGAATGTGCAGTTTTGTCACACAACACAATGCCACAGATGTCTCAAGTTTTGAGGGAGCGTGCAATTGGCATGCTGACTGCAGGAATGGCCACCAGAGCTGATGCCAAATAATTTAATGTAAATTTCTCTACCTTAAGCTGACTCTGTTATTTTACAGAATTTGGCAGTACGTCCAACTGGCCTCACAACCGCAGACCACGTGTAACCACGCCAGCCCAGGACCTCCACATCCAGCTTCTTCACCTGTGGGATCGTCTGAGACTAGCCACCTGGACAGCTGATGAAACTGTGGGTTTGGACAACTGAAGAATTTCTGCACAAACTGTCAGAAACCGTCTCAGGGAAGCTCATTTGCGTGCTCGTAGTCCTCACCAGGATCTTGACCTGACTGCAGTTCGGCGTCATAACCGACTTCAGCGGGCAAATGCTCACCTTCGGACTGTACCAGGCAGATGGCAGACAGTGTGTATGGCGTTGTGTGGGCGAGTGGTTTGCTGATGTCAACATTGTGAACGGAGTGCCCTGTGGTGGCATCCACCGTCATCACCTCATGTTTCAGCATGATAATGCACAGCCCCTTCTCACAGCAATTGAAGAGGAGTGGGGGACAACATTCCACAGGGAACAATCAACAGCCTGATCAACTCTATGCAAAGGAGATGTGTTGTGCTGCATGAGGCAAATGGTGGTAACACCAGATACTGACTGGTTTTCTTATCCACGCCCCTACTTCTTTTTGAAGGCATCTGTGACCAACAAATGCATATCTGCACCTACCCATTTTCCATGAATAGTCTGTTACTGAATGTATGCAGAATATTTTCAGATTTTGTTATCAACAAATGCGGCAAAAAGTACAGTAACTGTAAAATGCACATAAAATCAAGTGTAACGTTTGGATTCAGTCTTGTGTCAGGTGAACTGTTGTGTACTGACCTTTGGTCTAATACTTTTCCCCATTACCTCCAAACTGTTCCCTTCGAATTGCTACTATGGTTATGCATTTAACATTTATTCTGTAAGAAACATTTCGATCTACCCCTATAGGCCAATTCCCTTGAGTGTAAAGGTTTAACACAACAGAGAAATGCAATGTAAAGAACTCAGAGAACACAGAAAAGTATCCCTTTTTGTAATCTATTGATTTATGCAACGTCAATTTTAAAACTTCCATTAGAAGCAGAACATAAACCAGGAAGAGTCTGTGACAATATTAAAATATATACACATAAAACTGCAATGTCAACGGTAAAAATATTTGTACAAGATACAACAATCTGAGTCTCATTTCAAGTTAACATCTAGTTACATTTTAGCATATTACATTTTCAATCTTTGTGCAATGCTTGCTGTCTTAATTCACATTGTAACTTAGAGTACTTTCACTATAGTGCCACAGCCAATCCCCCTTTTCATACAACCATAATAAAAACACCTATAGCAGTAAAACAAACAGTTGAATTAAAAATAAACCATTCCCTTTCTGACAAAAACAGACATAGGTTTGATCAAAAGCCTGAGATATCTAAATGCAACGAGGGGTACAGGTATGTCACATACGTTATGCTCAAGTGGACAGGTAAATTACATCATCGCACTGCCACTCTGCTCTTTCCATCCATTCCTAAACCTTCCTTCCTTTCTCATTTTTCTTCTTTTTTGTCTCCAGTATCTCTTCCCTTTTTTCTATCCACTCCCCCTTTTTAGCACAATCACTAGAGGCAGTGTGCCATAGCACTTCGGTTTGTAAACACATAATGGAACACAGACACATGGGTAACATTATAAATTCTAAAAACTTAAGGCATGATTTCTACTGCAGCGGTCTGCTGGATAACTTAGCAACGACCACCATAAGGATTTACTTTACAGGTTAAAAAGACAGACATTTGTTACCAGGTAAAACCAATGGTAAAAGTCACTTTAGCAATGAGATGAACTGGGCAGTAGGTCTGCAAATGTACCTGATGTCACTCAGTCAGGCACTGTTGTGAGATACGTTGAAGGTATGTGTGTTTAAAACACAGATACACATGTAACAGTGTATGTACATGTGAGTTTGAGGGTAATGATGTTTTGAATCACTCACAGAAATGTAAGAGTTTCACACACAGAGGAAATATGAGTATCACACTGCAGAAGTAAAACTTTGTGCATGTAGGTGTGTGCATTTCACTGTAACGATTGTATGAAATATTACTGTTCTTGTAATGCTGTTTGGTGGAGTAGTCAGCTCTAGACAAGCCACTTCTCAATGCAGGTGTTGAACACTGTGTAATTGGAGTGCCAATTGATGTGCTCTACTCCAGCCATGGAGCACAGGAACAGGTCCCCGCGAGCATTTAGGGTCTTCAGACCAAACACATCTCTCAAATATAGCTGGGAAAGAAGGAAAATAATGCAAGGAATCATCATTATAAGATTACATCTAGAATCTTGTGTCATATCTATGCACAAGCATGGTCTAAAATAATACTTACATCCTGGTCCTTTATCTCAACGACAGTCTCATTGTCATTGTAAAATCCAAACTGACTACAAAGTCAAAAAGAAGGGAGGGAACCAGTGAGTGGATGACCTTGAATGAATAACACAGACATACACTATATATACACACACACAAAAGTATGTAGACACCCCTTCAAAATAGTGGATTTGGCTATTTCAGCCACACGTGTTGCTGACAGTTGTATAAAATCAAGCACACAGCCATGCAATCTCCATAGACAAACATTGGCAGTAGAATGGTTACCTAAAGAGGTCAGTGACTTTCAATGTGGCTTTGCCATAGGATGCCACCTTTCCAACAAGTCAGTTCGTAAAATGTCTGCCCTGCTAGAGCTGCTCCGGTCAACTGTAAGTGCTGTTATTGTGAATTGGAAATGTATAGGAGCAACAACGGCTCAGCTGCGAAGTGGTAGGCCACACAAGCTCACAGAACGGGACCGGCGAGTGTGCGTAAAAATTGTCTGTCCTCGGTTGCAACACTCATGAAGCTTCATGAAATGGGTTTCCATGGCCGAGCAGCCGCACACAAGCCTAAGATCACCATGCGCAATGCCATGCGTCGGCTGAAGTGGTGTAAAGCTCGCGGCCATTGGACTCTGGAGCAGTGGAAACACGTTCACTGGAGTGATGAATCACACTTCACCAGCTGGTAGTCTGACGGACAAATCTGGGTTTGGCGGATGCCAGGAGAACGCTACCTGCCCCAATGCATAGTGTCAACTGTAAAGTTTGGTGGAGGAGGAATAATGTTCTGTGGCTGTGTTTCATGGTTTGGACTAGGCCCCTTACTTCCAGTGAAGGGAAATCTTAATGCTACAGCATACAGTGCATTCTAGACGATTCTGTGCTTCCAACTTTGTGGCAAACATTTGGGGGAAGGCCCTTTTCAGCATGACAATGCCCCTGTGCACAAAGCGAGGTCCATACAGCAATGGTTTGTCGAGACCCTGTGTGGAAGAACTTGACTGGCTTGCACAGAGCCCTGACCTTAACCCCATCGAACAACATTGGGATTAATTGGAACGCCGACTGCGAACCAGGCCTAATCGCCCAACATCAGTGCCCAACCTCACTAATGCTCTTGTGGCTGAATGGAAGCTTGTCCCCGCAGCAATGTTCCAACATCTAGTGAAAAGCCTTCCCAGAAGAGTGGGGGCTGTTATAGCAGCAAAGGGGGGGACCAATTCCATATTAATGCCCATGATTTTGGGATGAGATGTTCGACAATCAGGTGTCCACATACTTTTGGTCATCTAGTGTATAATCTCTAGGAACAAAATGCCTCATACATTAAAGTGGAGAGAGAAGATTCTTCTTAGAATTGTCCATTTAAAACGAAACATATCTTGTCAAGCAGATAGAATGGAAACAATTCTTTAACAGAATATAGATTAGTAAGAATATTACACTCTTTAGGAAAGAGGAACTAGTTACCTGGACTGCCAGGGTGTGATGACTCCATCGTCTGGCCCCCCGATTAAGACCAGCTTCTTGATACGTAGGAAGTTCTTCTTCCACACTGTGTGAATGAGAAAGGATATGATATTCTAACTACAATACCTTCAGAAATTATTCATGCCCCTTGAATTGTTCCACATTTTGTTGTTACAGCCTGATTTTCAAAATTGATTAAATATATTTTTTTAATTCCCTAAACCACCTACACACAATATCCCATAGTGCTAACATGTTTGAGATTTTTGCAAATGTATTGAAAATGAAAATACAGAAATATCCTTTACATAAAGTATTCAACCCCCTGAGTCAATACATGTTAGAATCACTGTTGGCAGCGATTACAGTTGTGAGTCTTTCTGTGTAATTCTCTATGAGCTTTCCACACCTGGATTGTGCAACATTTGCCCATTATTCTTTTCAAAATTCTTCAAGCTCTGTCAAAATTGGTTGTTGACCATTGGTAGACAACCATTTTCAGGTCTTGCCAAATTGATCAGAAATACAGTGTAGACATTGTTAATGTTGTAAATGACTATTGTAGCTGGAAACGGCTGATTTTTAATGGAATATCTACATAGGCGTACAGAGACCCATTCTCAGCTACCATCAGTCCTGTGTTCCAATGGCACGTTGTGTTTGCTAATCCAAGTTTATCATTTAAAAAAGGCTAATTGATCATTAGAAAATCCTTTTGCAATTATGTTAGCACAGCTGAAAACTGTTGTGTTGATTAAAGAAGCAATAAAACTAGCCTTCTTGAGACTAGTTGAGTATCTGGAGCATCAGCAATTGTGGGTTCTATTACAGGATCAAAATGGCCAGAAACAATTAACTTTCTTCTGAAACTCGTCAGTCTATTCTTGTTCTGAGAAATGAAGGCTATTCCATGCGAGAAATTGCCAAGAAACTGAAGATCTCGTACAACGCTGTGTACTACTCCCTTCACAGAACAGTGCAAACGGGCTCTAACCAGAATAGAAAGAGGAGTGGGAGGCCCCGGTGCACAACTGAGCAAGAGGACAAATACATTAGAGTGTCTAGTTTGAGAAACAGACGCCTCACAGGTCTTCAACTGGCAGCTTCATTAAATAGTATCTGCAAAACACCAGTTTCAACGTCAACAGTGAAGAGGCGACTCCGGATGCTGACCTTCTAGGCAGAGTTTCAAAGAAAAAGCCATATCTCAGACTGGCCAATAAAAAGAAAATATTAAAATAGGCAAAAGAACACAAACACTGGACAGAGGAAGATTGGAAAAAAAGTGTTACGGACAGACTAATCGAAGTTTGAGGTGTTCGGATCACAAAGAAAAACATTTGTGAGACGCAGACCAAATGAAAATATGCTGGAGGAGTGCTTGATGCCATCTGTCAAGCATGATGGAGGCAATGTGATGGTCTGGGGGTGCTTTGGTGGTGGTAAAGTGGGAGATTTGTACAGGGTAAAAGGGATCTTGAAGAAGGAAGGCGATCACTCCATTTTGCAACGCCATGCCATAACCTGTGGACGGCGCTTGATTGGAGCCAATTTCCTCCTACAAAAGGACAATGACCCAAAGCACAGCTCCAAACTATGCAATAACTATTTATGGAAGAAGCAGTCAACTGGTATTCTGTCTGTAATGGAGTGGGCCAGCACAGTCACCGGATCTCAACCCTATTGAGCTGTTGTGGGAGCAGCTTGACCGTATGGTATGTAAGAAGTGCCCATCAAGCCAATCCAATTTGTGGGAGGTGCATCAGGAAGCATGGGGTGAAATCTCTTCAGATTACCTCAACAAATTGACAACTAGAATGCCAAAGGTCTGCAAGGCTGTAATTGCTGCAAATGGAGGATTATTTGACACAATTATTATTTATATTAAAAATCATTATTTCTAACCTTGTCAATGACTACATTTCCTATGCATTTTGCTATATTTCCTATTCAAACTCATTTCATGCATGTTTTCATGGAAAACAAGGACATTTCTAAGTGACCCCAAACTTTTGAACGATAGTGTAAGTCAAAACTGTAACTCGGCCACTCAGGAACACTCACTGTCTTCTTGGCAACTCCAATGTAGATTTGGCCTTGTGTTTTAAGTTATTGTCCTGGTGAAAGGTAAATTAATCTCCCAGATTCTGGTGGAAAGCAGACTGAACCAGGTTTTTATCTAGGATTTTGCCTGTGCTTAGCCCCATTCCGTTTCTTTTTTTATCCTGAAAAACTCCCTAGTCCTTAACGATTACAAGCATACCCATAACATTATGCAGCCACCGCTATGCTTGAATATATGGAGAGTGGTACTCAATAATGTGTTGTGTTGGATTTGCCCCAAACACAACGCTTTGTATTCAGGACAAAAAGTGAATTGCTTTGCCACATTTTTTGCAGTATTACTTTAGTGCCTTGTTGAAAACAGGATGCATATTTAGAATATTTTTTATTCTGTACAGTCTTCCTTCTTTACAAACTGACCCATCATCAGTTTTCTCCCATCACAGCCATTAAACTCTGTAACTGTTTTAAAGTCACCATTGGCCTCATGGTGAAATCCCTGAGCGGTTTCCTTCCTCTCCGGCAACTGAGTTAAGAAGGACACCTGTATCTTTGTAGTGACTGGGTGTATTGATACACCATTGAAAGTGTAATTAATAACTTCACCATGCTCAAAGGGATATTCAATATCTGCTTTTTATTTTATTTTTTACCCATTTACCAATGTGTACCCTTCTTTGCGAGATATTGGAAACCCTCCTTGGTCTTTGTGGTTGAATCTGTGTTTGAAATTCACTGCTCGACTGAGGGACCTTAGAGATAATTGTATGTGTAGGGTACAGAGATTAGGTAGTAATTCAAAAATCAGGTTAAACACTTATTGCACACAGAGTGAGTACATGCAACTTATGTGACTTGTTAAGCAAATGTTTTACTCCTGAACTTATTTAGGCTTGCCATAACAAAGGGGTTGAATACTTATTGACTCAAGACATAATTAATTTGTAAAGAAATTAAAAACATAATTCCACTTTGACATTATGGGGTATTGCGTGTAGGCCAGTGACAACAATATCTCAATTTAATCCATTTTAAATTCAGGCTGTAACACAACAATGTGGAAAAAGTCAAGGTGTGTGAATACTTTCTGAAGGCACTGTATATAATATTGTAATTAAATAACAGCAATACTGCACAATGAGCAAAGGGTTCCTATTAAATGCAGAGTAATACAACCCATGATGACATTGACTCAGCAGCAATAGAGTAGACAGACTAACCCTTCTCTGAAATAGTGGATTAATTTAGAACCCACAGCAATTTCGGCAGAGTTGCTGACCTGTTGAATTGGGATTTGGCCTCTCGCTGTTCAATAAAGCCAGATAATCACTGCCGTTCACGTACATGTCCATGTGATGGGGGTCTGCAAGAGAAAACAAACAGTTTAGTCAAACAAAAACTTCTACTCCAACCACATATCATCAATATATCCACAGTTACTCCTTGAGAAACCTGACGCATAGGCCATTGCATATAGAAAATCCATCTACCTTCAGCGTTGAGGGAGTGCACAACCTTTGTATTGCCCAGTCCTCAGCTCAGCCTACTAACCTTTCCAGAAGTTGCAGATAGATATCCTTTGGCCCACCGAGGTGTAGCAGAAATGGAACAGGTTGGACTTCATGAACTGGGGGAAGAGGTACTTCAGGTAGTCTGTGTCTGAACAGAAACAAGAGAAAAGACAAGTTTCTGTTTAGTTCAGGCCTGAGCACACACTGGGAGCCAGGGTGACAATGTACCATGTTTCAAACAATGATGTTGGCTGTTGAGCACAAAGATCAAGTTGATGGCTTCTAGTGAACGCTTACCTCCATACTGCCCAGCCTGAGGTGAGGACAGAGAGATGAAGGAGTGGACATTGTGATCAGGGAGAGTAGATAGGATTCCTCTGCAAATCAGTCCACCTGGAACAGAATGAGAGTGACAGTAAATACAGGTAAATGCCTAAATGAAGGAAACGCCAACATAAAGTGTCTTAATAGGGCATTGGGCCACCACGAGCCAGAACTCCTTCAATGCACTGTGGCATAGATTCTACAAATGTCTGGCACTCTATTGGAGGGATCAGACACCATTCTTCCATGAAAAATTCCATAATTTGGTGTTTTGTTGATGGTGGTGGAAAACACAGTCTCAGGCGCCATTCCAAAATCTCCCATAAGTGTTCAATTGGGTTGAGATCTGGTGACTGATGGCCCTGCTACACTACAGCCATAGGGCTTCCGGCATTGCCATCAGCCATTGAAATCAATGAAAGCTGCTATACTGCCCATGTTGCGCTTGCGTTGCATCACGTCCAACTGCAGCTTCCAAGCTCAATAATTGCAGAGGTTCAATTCTCTATAGCTCAAGAGTGCGTTCATTCGATCTTGTGAATTGAAATAATGAGAAATAAAGTTGATTTTTTGTTGCATATGGCCTCGACTATACACCACTGGTTATCTTACTAAGATCTATGAAGTCAAGAAGCTACTAGCAGAAACTCTAGCTAGCTAGCTACATTGACTATGTTCACAATGTAAACACTTGTTACTTGCGTAATTAGAGGATCATTTAGTACAACCACCAGCAACAATTGAATGAGTACTTGCAAAAAAACTGGACCAAAGCTATTGTACTTACACATAATCTATGAATATGGTCCAGTACAGTAGGAGAAAATAGAATAAAGAAGCTCTCCCCCTCTGCTCCTCTCAAAACAACACTGTCTGTGTAGCAGGTAGAACGTTACATTGACGCAACACTGATGGCAAAGCAACATGACGTGTATAGTGGAGCTGAAGTGTAAGACGTCCATGGCATATGGTTTACATCATTTTCATGCTCATCAAACAGCTCAGTGACCACTTGTGCTCTGTGGATGGGGGCATTGTCCCGTCCAGCATTTTTATATATGACCCTAAGCATGACGGGATGTTAATTGCTTAATTAACTCAGGAACCACACTTGTGTGGTGTTTGCATCCCTCATTTACTCAAGTGTTTCCATTGTTTTGGCAGTTACCTGTTCCCATTTCATTGTAGAAACATGAGGTCAAATGATAGCCCCACGTTAAATGTATAAAGATTTAAAATGGAACCAAACAAATGCAAATCATACAATCAAACCTTGAGAGTAGCAGATGAAGTGGACCCCATCTGCAGCGTTCTGCATGACGGGATAGATGGCAGCCTTGAAGCCCTCCACTTGTTTCCATAGTGGCTGTAGGCTGGAGCTGCGGTCAAACAGGTCAAAGACTGACACATTGGTTCCTGGGTGAGACTGTCAGAAGAAGACGAGGATGGGACAGATTAGAGCACTATAACAAAGATAGCTTTATAGAACACTAATTGAAAAGGCTAGGAGTGTGGGAGAGTCAGACAAATGACTGAAAATATGATGTTAATATTGACAAAATAATACCTCAACTGACAGAATTGATTATGCAAAAACAAAAGCCAAGACGTATTAGTTTTTCAGCAGGGGTCAAACAGGCATACTTATATTGGTTGAAATGCCTCAGCTGTTTAAAAAAAAAATTATTGTAAACAAATATTTCCCTTCATTACTTTCCAACCCCACCACCCCTTCCCTAATTGGAGTAAACTAGTGAACAACAACGCTTAGGCCTCTACTTCCAGCTTATGCATACTAATATATATATATATATATTATTTTTTATATATATTATTATTTTATTTTTTTTATATATATTATTTTTTTATGGACACAGTCAATTTTACAATAATTATATTTTGTTTGTTTTTACTCCTGAACATCTACCCTCAACCTCTCCGATCATTTTCATGATGTCCATCCGGTTTGCTTCTATATGCCATATCTTTCTAACTGTGCTCTTTCACAAAAGCTCACAACCTATAACCTATATACTTATTATGGACACAGTATGCTTTACATTAGTTATCTTGTTGTTATTAGTTGTTGTTATTTGTCCCATCCTTCAGCTCCATTCAACATCTCCCATCTATCTCCTAACACCATCCACATTGGATTTCTATTTGCCATATGTTTTTCAACTGTACTGTGATGTTTCACAAAAGTTCTGAACCCTTCTATTCTCATTGTTTCTACAGATTGTAAATTGAAAATAAACATTTTTGCTAAAAGTATTATATTATTGATCAATTGACTATGACTTTTCAGATTACCCAGTAGTGCTATCTGCAGGGTTAGCTCCAGGTAAATATTGCAATCCTTCAGCCATTCCTGGACCTGTGACCAGAAACAAGCTACAAATGGACAGTACCAAAACAAATGATCTAATGATTCTGTCTCTTCGCAGCAAAACCTGCGGAGCTGGGAAGATTGTATCCCACATTTAAATAACATTCTATTGGTAGCAAGAATTTTGTATAATCATTTAAATTGAAAAATTCTAAGTTTTGAATCCGGCGTCATTTTGCGTATCAGTTCATAAACCCTATGCCATGGAATAGGTACGTCAAAAATCTCTTCCCAACTATTTTGCAATCTATAATGGGAAGGCTGTCATTCCTTTGGTCCTTAAATGAAACTGGTATACTTTTTTATTTATCACAATTTCTTTAACCAATTATGTTCTTTAATGCAGGGCCGACAGACAAGTTCCTTACTTTTTCCCCCTTCCACTTTCCTTTTCCATTTTTGCAGTAATGATGCAATTATTTGGTTGTAATTTTGGGTAGAGCAGACATTTCCATATGTTTTTGTTAGCTGCATGTGCGACAACTCCACCAGTCCTACCTATGATTTAATTTACAAAGATTATACATAAAACAATAAAAAATTCGAAATATGTTTTTTAAAATCAATTAGTACATTTGAGTTTAACCACAATATTTGTTGCATTATTTGTTCTGTTGTTTCTGGAGTATTCAATTGAAATTGCAACCAACCTTCTATGGCTTGTTTTAGAAATAGTGATATTTGGGAGATGATTTCCTTTTCAAATAACTGAAAGTGAGAGGTTGTAATCTGAATAAAAGGAAAAAGACCATGCTTGAACATGGGGTGAGACAATCTGACTAATTTGCTAGAGAACCAGTTCGGATTTAAGTATAACTTTTGTATGACTGAAGCTTTTAGTGATAGGTCTAATGCTTTAATATTTAATAATTTCTGTCCTCCAAATTAATATTCATTATTTAAATAGGCCCGTTTAATTGTCTGGCTTGCCGTTCCCAAAACATTTAATATTTTTCTCTCATACAATTTTTAAAGAACTGTTCGCTAGGCGTAGGCAAGACCATAAGCAAATAGGTAAACTGGGATAATACTAAAGAGTTAATCAGGGTGATTTTTCCACAAATAGACAGGTATTTACCTTTCCATGGTAGCAAGATCTTATCTATTTTTGCTAACGTTATATAAAAATGTATTGGAGTGAGATTATTTATTTCATTTGGGATATGTATTCCAAGTATATCCACATCACCATCAGAACATTTTATTGGTAAACAACATGGTAATGTAAAAATTTTACTTTTTTGTGATCCAACACGTAATATAGTACATTTATCATAATTTAGTTGTAATCCAGAGAGGTTAGAAAATGTATCTAGATCCTCTATGAGGCTGTGGAGGGATTCAAGTTGTGGATTTAAAAGAAAACATGAATCATCAGCATACATTGACACCTTTGTTTTTAAGCCCTGGATTTCTAATCCCTTGATATTACCGTGGGATCTGATTTTAATAGCTAACATTTCAATGGCCATAATAAATAGATATACCGATAGTGGACAACCTTGTTTTACTCCTCTTGACAGTTTAAAACTTTCTGAGAAATAGCCATTATTTACTATTTTATACCTAGGGTTACTATACATGATTAACACATTTTATAAGAGATTCTACAAAATTGAAATGCTCCAGGCATTTATATATAAGCTCCAGTCGTACTTTATCAAATGCCTTTTCAAAGTCTGCTATGAATAGCAAGCCTGGTTTCCCAGTTTTTTCATAGTGTTCTATCGTTTCCAGTACTTGCCTTATATTATCTCCGATGTTTCGTCCATGTAAAAAACCTGTCTGATTAGAATGAATAATGTCCGACAATACCTTTTTAATTCTATGCACTATACTTTTTGCATCACAACACTGAAGTGTAAGGGGACCTCCAATTTTTTTAAATGGACTGGATCTTTATATTTCCCACTTGTATGCTGTTTCAGTAATAATGAAATCAGACCTTCTTCTTGAGTGTTTGATAATCTACCATTTACATAGGAGTGGTTAAAACATGCTAATAATGGTCCTCTGATTATATCACAAAAGGTTTGGTATACCTCGACTGGTATGCCATCCAACCCTGGATTTATCCCGGACTTAATGTCTTTAATTGCATCTAGAAGTTCCTCCTCTGTAATTTCACCTTCACATGAGTCTCTCTGTATGGCTGTTAATTTTACATTATCAATAGAAACAAAATCTCTACAATTAGCTTCAGTTAGAGGAGATGGAGGCGACTGAAACGAAAACATACAGTTGAAGTCAGAAGTTTACATACACCTTAGCCAAATACATTTAAACTCTGTTTTTCACAATTCCTGACATTTAATCCTAGTAAAGATTCCCTGTTTTAGGTCAGTTAGGATCAACACTTTATTTTAAGAATGTGAAATGTCAGAATAATAGTAGAGAATGATTTATTTCAGCTTTTATTTGTTTCATCACATTCCCAGTGGGTCAGAGGTTTACATACACTCAATTAGTATTTGGTAGCATTGCCTTTCAATTGTTTAACTTGGATCAAACTCTTCGGGTAGCCTTCCATAAGCTCCCCACAATAAGTTGGGTGAATTTTGGCCCATTCCTCCTGACAGAGCTGGTGTAACTGAGTCAGGTTTGTAGGCCTCCTTGCTCGCACATGCTTTTTCAGTTCTGCCCACAAATGTTCTATAGGATTGAGGTCAGGGCTTTGTGATGGCCACTCCAATACCTTGACTTTGTTGTCCTTAAGCCATTGCCACAACTTTGGAAGTATGCTTGGGGTCATTGTTCATTTGGAAGACCCATTTGCGACCAAGCTTTAACTTCCTGACTGATGTCTTGAGATGTTGCTTCAATATATTCACCTAATTTTCCTTCCTCATGATGCCATCTATTTTGTGAAGTGCACCAGTCCCTCCTGCAGCAAAGCACCCCCACAGCATGATGCTGCCACCCCCGTTCTTCACGGTTGGGATGGTGTTCTTCGGCTTGCAAGCAACCCCCTTTTTCCTCCAAACATAACGATGGTCATTATGGCCAAACAGTTATATTTTTGTTTCATCAGACCAGAGGACAATTCTCCAAAAAGTACAATCTTTGTCCCCATGTGCAGTTGCAAACCGTAGTCTGGCTTTTTTATGGTGGTTTTGGAACAGTGGCTTCTACCTTGCTGAGCGGCCTTTCAGGTTGGGTCAATATAGGACTCGTTTTACTGTGGATATAGATACTTTTGTACCGGTTTCCTCCAGCATCTTCACAAGGTCCTTTGCTGTTGTTCTGGGATTGATTTGCACTTTTCGCACCAAAGTACGTTCATCTCTAGGAGACAGAACACGTCTCATTCCTGAGCGGTATGACGGCTGTGTGGTCCCATGGTGTTTATACTTGTGTACTATTGCTTTTACAGATTAACGTGGTACCTTCAGGCATTTGGAAATTGCTCCCAAGCATGAACCAGACTTGTGGAGGTCTACAATTTTTTTTCTGAGGTCTTGGCTGATTTATTTTCATTTTCCCATGATGTCAAGTAAAGAGGCACTGAGTTTGAAGGTAGGCCTTGAAATACATCCACAGGTATACCTCCAATTGACTCAAATGATGTCAATTAGCCTATCAGAAGCTTCTAAAGCCATGACATAATTTTCTGGAATTTTCCAAGCTGTTTAAAGGCACAGTCAACTTAGTGTATGTAAACTTCTGACCCATTGGAATTGTGATACAGTGAATTATAAGTGAAATAATCTGTCTGTAAACAATTGTTGGAAAAATTACTTGTGTCATGCACAAAGTAGATGTCCTAACCGACTTGCCAAAACTATAGTTTGTTAACAAGAAATTTGTGGAGTGGTTGAAAAACAAGTTATTGACTCCAACCTAAGTGTATGTAAACTTCCGACTTCAACTGTATGCTTAAAGTACTTTGCTTTCTCCTTCAAAATATAATTTGGTGAATCATGGGTGACTCCGTAATTTGTAACCAGTTTCAGTAAATTATTTTTGGTAGCATTTCTATGTTGAAGATGAAAAAAATATTTGGTGCATTTTTCCCCATATTCCATCCAGTTTGCTTTATTTTTATAATATATTACACTTGATCTTTATTGAATAAGTTTCTCCATTTCTTTTTGTTTTTCCTCTAATTTATTCTGAGCCTCTATGTTACAGTTTTTAATGCTATCTATCTTCTCTGTTAGACCTTCTATTTCCTTTGTTAGTATGGACTCTTTTGACCTAAATTGCTTTTGTTTTCGAGATGAGTACTGAATTGCATGGCCTCTAAAAAGGCACATTTAAAAGTGTCCCATACAATAAGGGGATTTGCTGTACCTATGTTGTCAGAAAAAAAGTGTGGATCATCATTATTTGGTCCGTAAAGGTTAATGAGCCATATCTGTTTATGGTCCAATAACATATTTAAAATCCTCCATCTATGGGAGAAGCATATTTTGCCCCCCCCCCCCCAGTCCCTTTTCCACACAACTTAATCTAGAATTGTTGAATGAGTTTCCTGTAAACAATATATATTATATTCCTTCTCTTTGAGCCATGTAAATATTGTTCTTCTTTTGTTATTATCTGCCAAGCCATTACAATTATAAATGGCTATACTTATTTTACCACTTGTTTCAAATCTATTTATCATAATATATGTTTGTAAATTTACCAATAAAAAATACCATGGTGATTGAGTGTCCATATAGCTGTACCATGATATTTGCATTGCTACCAAGTAGCAGAGTCCCCAGAGATTGGAAAGCTGCCGCGGTCATCCCCCTCTTCAAAGGGGGTGACACTCTAGATCCAAATTGCTACAGACCTATATCCATCCTGCCCTGCCTTTCGAAAGTATTCGAAAGCCAAGTTAACAAACAGATCATCGACCATTTCGAATACCACCGTACCTTCTCCGCTATGCAATCCGGTTTCCGAGCTGGTCACGGGTGCACTTCAGCCACGCTCAAGGTCCTAAACGATATTATAACCGCGATTGATAATAGACAGTACTGTGCAGCCGTCTTCATCGACCTGGCCAAGGCTTTCGACTCTGTCAACCACCGCATTCTTATTGGCAGACTAAATAGCCTTGGTTTCTCAAATGACTGCCTCGCCTGGTTCACCAACTACTTCTCAGATAGTGTTCAGTGTGTCAAATCGGAGGGCCTGTTGTCTGGACCTATGGCAGTCTCTATGGGGGTGCCACAGGGTTCAATTCTTGGGCCGACACTTTTCTCCGTGTATATCAATGATGTCGCTCTTGCTGCTGGTGACTCTCAGATCCACCTCTACGCAGACGACACCATTTTGTATACATCTGGCCCTTCATTGGACACTGTGTTAACAAACCTCCAAACGAGCTTCAATGCCATACAACAATCCTTCAGTAGCCTCCAACTGCTCTTAAACACTAGTAAAACTAAATGCATGCTTTTCAATCGAACGCTGCTGGCACCCGCCCACCCGACTAGAATCACCACTCTCGACGGGTCTGACCTAGAGTATGTGGACAACTACAAATACCTAGGTGTCTGGTTAGACTGTAAACTCAACTTCCAGACTCACATAAAGAATCTCCAATCCAAAGTTAAATCTAGAATCGGCTTCCTATTTCGCAACAAAGCCTCCTTCACTCATGCTGCCAAACATGCCCTCGTAAAACTGACTATCCTACCGATCCTTGACTTCGGCGATGTCATTTACAAAATAGCCTCCAACACTCTACTCAGCAAATTGGATGTAGTCTTTCACAGTGCCATCCGTTTTGTCTCCAAAGCCCCATACACTACCCACCACTGTGACCTGTACGCTCTTGTTGGCTGGTCCTCACTACATGTTCGTCGTCAAACCCACTGGCTCCAGGCCATCTATAAATCACTGCTAGGCAAATCCCCGCCTTATCTTAGCTCATTGGTCACCATAGCAGCACCCACCCGTAGTCTGCGCTCCAGCAGGTACAGTGGGGAAAAAAAGTATTTAGTCAGCCACCAATTGTGCAAGTTCTCCCACTTAAAATGATGAGAGACGCCTGTAATTTTCATCATAGGTACACGTCAACTATGACAGACAAAATGAGGAAAAAAAATCCAGAAAATCACATTGTAGGATTTTTAATGAATTTATTTGCAAATTTTGGTGGAAAATAAGTATTTGGTCAATAACAAAAGTTTCTCAATACTTTGTTATATACCCTTTGTTGGCAATGACACAGGTCAAACGTTTTCTGTAAGTCTTCACAAGGTTTTCACACACTGTTGCTGGTATTTTGGCCCATTCCTCCATGCAGATCTCCTCTAGAGCAGTGATGTTTTGGGGCTGTCGCTGGGCAACACAGACTTTCAACTCCCTCCAAAGATTTTCTATGGGGTTGAGATCTGGAGACTGGCTAGGCCACTCCAGGACCTTGAAATGCTTCTTACGAAGCCACTCCTTCGTTGCCCAGGCGGTGAAAAAAAAAAAAAAAAAAACAGCCCCAAAGCATGATGTTTCCACCCCCATGCTTCACAGTAGGTATGGTGTTCTTTGGATGCAACTCAGCATTCTTTGTCCTCCAAAGTTATATTTTGGTTTCATCTGACCATATGACATTCTCCCAATCCTCTTCTGGATCATCCAAATGCACTCTAGCAAACTTCAGACGGGCCTGGACATGTACTGGCTTAAGCAGGGGGACACGTCTTGCACTGCAGGATTTGAGTCCCTGGCGGCGTAGTGTGTTACTGATGGTAGGCTTTGTTACTTTGGTCCCAGCTCTCTGCAGGTCATTCACTAGGTCCCCCCATGTGGTTCTGTGATTTTTGCTCACCCTTCTTGTGATCATTTTGACCCCACGGGGTGAGATCTTGCGTGGAGCCCCAGATCGAGGGAGATTATCAGTGGTCTTGTATGTCTTCCATTTCCTAATAATTGCTCCCACAGTTGATTTCTTCAAACCAAGCTGCTTACCTATTGCAGATTCAGTCTTCCCAGCCTGGTGCAGGTCTACAATTTTGTTTCTGGTGTCCTTTGACAGCTCTTTGGTCTTGGCCATAGTGGAGTTTGGAGTGTGACTGTTTGAGGTTGTGGACAGGTGTCTTTTATACTGACAACAAGTTCAAACAGGTGCCATTAATACAGGTAACGAGTGGAGGACAGAGGAGCCTCTTAAAGAAGAAGTTACAGGTCTGTGAGAGCCAGAAATCTTGCTTGTTTGTAGGTGACCAAATACTTATTTTCCACCATAATTTGCAAATAAATTCATTACAAATCCTACAATGTGATTTTCTGGATTTTTTTTCCTCAGTTTGTCTGTCATAGTTGACGTGTACCTATGAAGAAAATTACAGGCCTCTCTCATCTTTTTAAGTGGGAGAACTTGCACAATTGGTGGCTGACTAAATACTTTTTCCCCCCACTGTATATCTCACTGGTCATTCCCAAAGCCAACACCTCCTTTGGCCGCCATTCCTTCCAGTTCTCTGCTGCCAATGACTGGAACGAATTGCAAAAATCTCTGAAGCTGGAGACTTATCTCCCTCAATAACTTTAAGCATCAGTTGTCAGAGCACCTTACCGATCACTGCACCTGTACACAGCCCATCTGAAATTAGCCCACCCAACTACCTCATCCCTATATTGTTATTTATTTTGCTCTTTTGCACCCCAGTATCTCTATTTGCACATAATCTCTTGCACATCTAGCATTCCAGTGTTAAAACTATTGTAATTATTCTGCACTATAGCCTATTTATTGCCTTACCTCCATAACTTGCTACATTTGCACACACTGTATATATATTTTCTGTTGTATTTCTGACTTTATGTTTTTTACCCCATATGTAACTCTGTGTTGTTTTTTATTGCACTACTTTGCTTTATCTTGGCCAGGTCGCAGTTGTAAATGAGAACCTGTTCTCAACTGGCTTACCTGGTTAAATAAAGGTGAAATAAAAAATAAAATAAAATAAAAAGTAACCCTCCAATTGTTCTCCACTATTCCCCCCGCTAAAGCCCCTCCCCATCCCAAGTTGGGTTGTCATCCCAGTGATCAGCATACCACCCCCGTCCCCCCGGATCCCTAGGCCCCCGAGAGGCCAGGACCCATCCTTCGAAAACAGCACACAGTGCCACCCACAAAACAGAAGCAGGTCAACCACCAAAAGCATTTCCAATGCTCTCACCTCAATATGTATATAGCTATTAAAAATATATATCTATTCAAATATCTTGCATCTTAATTTCTATCATTATCAATTAATATGCGTAATAATGTTGGCAGCTCATGCGAAGGATTGTTACCTATAACCCGGATTGCCATTGTATTACATTACATTTTTGTCAAGCAATTATTATTTTAGCAAACAATTGTGGTTCATCCTATATTCTCCCTAACATCCTTACCCTCTTGCAACAGATGTGGGATACACACACACACTCTTACACACTCAACCCCTTTCCTCCACAATCAACCATAAGCTCAGATGCTCAACAGTTGTTACATCCCAGAGCCCAACTCAAGAAAGGATCTGATTTACGAATGCATATACAGTTACAGCTGTTTGAGAAAGCATGCAAGATTGAGCAAAAATTGTCAATTTTTAGATTTGATTAATCTATGTCAAGTCCTAGGTGATGGAGATCATATCCACCCTCTTCCCCTGAAACACAAACATTCTGGTCCCCCGTTGTAACCATTTTTCCCAAGCATCTCCGTGCAGTCAGACCTTTGATTATTTTGTGCCACCAGGGCCACAATAATATGCCCCCTCTCTGATTGTCCGAGTGTGACCACCTCCCCATGGGTTACACTGCAAAATTGAAAGCGCTCTCTCACAACCCCTGCTCACAGACACACGTAGGTTCTGGGATATGCAACCATTTCCTTTCTCACTCACTTAACGCCACACTTTTCCAAACACAAAAACGCACACCACACCTTCCATCACAATTCATCCACACATACCCACATACTGTGCCTTCTATGTCTTCTGTTTGCTATGTTTTTATCTCCACTATGTTGATTGAGTACTTGTGTTCTAATTAGTTATATATGAAGATGTATTATTTAGCTTGTTATCCTTTCTTGTAATGCCGTCTTATCCCTTTATAAAATACTCTAAATGTGTTTTATTATTACAATCCCTACCATGGCTAGTATTGGGTTTATCGACTACGTGAGCAACATGCTTCCCTTTTAATCTATTTTCCTTGAAGATTGGGTACAGAACTTTGCGCCGTTCTGCAATCTCCCTTGGGAAATGATCATTAATGCCTATTTTCGTGCCTGCAAGTCTTTCACCTAGGCTTTTAACTATTACTTTATCCTTAAAGAAAGCACATTTGGCAACGATTGGACGCTCATATCTCTGTCCTCTTTGTCCGAAACGGTGTACACGTTCGAGTTGGATTTTATCGACAGCATCGAGTGGGATTTGAAGGGCTGTAAGAAAGAAGTCCTTCGCAATTTTTTCGGTAACCTCTCCTTCTTTTTCTTGGATACCCGAAAGTACTAGATTTTCTCTCATCGATCTAGTCTGTATGTCTTTTAAGGCTTCTCTCAGAAAGTTGTTCTCCTTTTTAAGTTCCTTAACGTCCGTTTCTATCTTAGTGACTGTCCATTGTAGCCTTTTGTATCTTTCGCCATTATTGCTGCTTTTTCGTCATTCAACTCCTTTACATCCTTACTGACCAACACTAGTATGCCCAGTTTGTCATTTATCGACTTCAACAGATCGCTTTCCACACTTACCAGTCCCAGTGGTGAAAAGCATAAATCATCTGTATCCGTCGAGGAGTCGCGTTTTCTCTTGGAGATTGATTCTCCTCATTTATCCTCCGTCATGTTTGAGTGTTGCTTGTTGTTGTAATATTTGTCGATACATTTCTCTAGCCTTATGATTTGTTTTGTGTTATTATCCAAATTGAATGTTATTACCCACGAGTATATGAAGTGCTAATATTTAGTCTAACTTAATGATATTGAATATTACGTTTTTATCTTGAGGTGATTTGCACCGCTGTGTGTTCAATACGCCATCTTGTCACGTCTGCCTCAGCTTGTTGTTTTATCACATAGGTCTATCCTTTGGAAATGTATTACTACATTACTAATTAATAGGAGGCTATTAAGGTGATGTTTTCGAATATTGATCGTAAGGCAGTTTGGAAGTAGTGGGTGCACTTCGTTGGAGTGTGGGTGTATGTGAGAGGGAAAGAGACGGACACTTCAATCAGTTTTTGTATGATATGTGCCTTTCTGAGTGCTCAGAATTCAAGCTGTAGAGAAGCTTGTGCCTCCCGAGTGGCGCAGTGGTCTAAGGCACTGCATCGCAGTGCTAGCTGTGCCACTAGAGATCCTGGTGCCACTAGAGATCCTGGTTCGAATCCAGGCTCTGTCGTAGCCGGCCGCGACCGGGAGACCCATGGGGCGGCGCACAATTGGTCCAGCGTCGACCAGGGTAGGGGAGGGAATTGTCAGCAGGGATGTAGCTCAGTTGGTAGAGCATGGTGTTTGCAACGCCAGGGTTGTGGGTTCGATTCCCACGGGGGGCCAGTATGAAAAAAAATTAAGTATGAACTCACTACTGTAAATTGCTCTGGATTAGAGCGTCTGCTTAATGACTCAAAAGTAAAATTGAACAAGCATGGGAAACAATGTTTAAACCCTTTACAATGAAGATCTGTGAAGTTATTTGGATTTTTACTAATTATCTTTGAATAATAAAGTAAATATAGTATGAATAAAATAAAAAAAATATTTTAAAAATAAATGTATGCACTCATTTCTGGATTAGAGCGTCTGCTAAATGACTAAAATGTAAGCTGATGTGTAAAAGCAGAACTTGATATGACCTCACAGTGTATCAAAAAGCCCCTGTGATACCTTGTAAATTCTCACACCTGACATCCAGTGTGTGTTGCCATCAAGTTACGTATTAACTTCTACTTACAGTAGTTCCCTCTCTGACATTTAAGTTATTTATAGTCATAAAATGTGGTCAGAGGGTTGGGAACCACTTAAACAATGTGGGAGCCAGGAAGAGATCATCTTCAAGGAGAGGGGAAACGTGAGATGATGCTATGTTGAAAACTGCAAGAGCATGCATATCTCCTGTTTAGTCTCCTCCCCATTTTACAACAGTCAGCAAAAAAATTCCCCCCTGCAGCCATGTAAAGTATTTTCAGGTTCAATGAATTGCTGATCTTAAAAAAAGGAGAATGATCCTAAGGATCATAGTTTTCTTGTGCGCTTACCAAGGCCAGGGGTGATGATTAGGCAACATTATGCCAGGAACATTTTGCTCTAGAATCTGGCAATAATCAACAGCCTATTTCCCTTGTATTCATGAAGAGCTCAGCTGATAAGACTGGTGACAAACTGCTGATTTCATATTATAAACTGGGTGGTTCGAGCCCTGAATGCTGATTGGCTGACAGCCGTGGTATATCAGACCTTATACCACTGCTTTGACAAAACATTTATTTTTACTGCTCTAATTACTTTGGTAACCAGTTTATAATAGCAACAAGGCTCCTCGGGTGTTTGTGGATTATGGCCAAAATACCATGGCTAAGGGCTGTGTCCAGGCACTCCACGTTGCGTCTGCTTAAGAACTTGTACCAGCCCTAACGAAAATGGAAACATTGTAGCGAAGTTCTTATAAACCCCCCATGGTCTCCTGCTATTCTCAAGCAGACCACAGTAATGTTTGATATGAGTAAACTGAGGCGTGCGCCCAGGTTCCTGCAGCACAATGGAAACACCATGTACAAACACGGAAATTACCCAAAGATCGCCAGTTTAAGATACTGGTATTAGCCTCCTGTAGCTTAGGTGGTAGAGCATGGCGCTTGCAACGCCAGGGTTGTGGGTTCGATTCCCACGGGGGGCCAGTATGAAAAATGTATGCACTGACGCTCTGGATAAGAGCGTCTGCTAAATGACTAAAATGTAAATGGTATGGGCCTTACACATACATTCTACATAATTCAACCTGCCATATCTGTTCTGTTGTTACATAGCATAGCAGGCGTATATTATTACCCATACCCAATCTTTCCTTAGTTAGATTTGTGGACCGTGGTGATATCTTTTCAAGCACTCACCTGATTGATGAAGCGAAGCAATTCCACAAATTCCCCGGAGCTGTCGAACAACCCATGGACTATGACCACTGGTTTGTACCCGATGACAGCAGCAACAAGGCAGGCACCAAACAGTGACCACAACAGCCTTGTCGCCCCGCTCTTCCTTCGACTAGAAACTGCAGAAGAGGGCCCTTTCATAGTTATAAAAAATAAAAATAAAAATAATAATCTTTGTAAAACCAACGAATACTAAAATATCTTACACTTTTCAAAATTTCCTACGAATCCGGTTAAAATCTTGTTCCTTGCTTTGGCGGTATTCCCTAACCTTTAGACAAATGTAAAAAAAAAAAAAAAATTGCTATCTCATGTGCTACTCTTTACTCTCGTTCACCATCATAAATCCTGTTCTAAATTAAACGAACACCCTTGCTGAACGTCTGAATATGACTGGGGTTGCTTAACCAAAACACCGCTTGATATTTGCTTTGTTTGTTCCGGTTCGTGATCAAAAACGCGAGACGACATGAAGTAATTTCCGGTTTCGATAGCTTCTCAAAGGAGCCGCCTGCCACCAGAAGACAGCAAAATATAACTAGACTGAAAAAATACAGCATGCACCTTTTCCCAAAATAACACACTCAGGACAACATATCCATTGTAAACAAGGTTGCAACTTACAGTCAGGACATACTCAAATGATAATTCAAGTTATGTTTCACTATATTGGATCACTCCAATATATTGGTATCACTCCGCGGCGGAGGGATATATCCGAGGTCAGGATTTACAGATTTTACCTTACCTGTGTTACGGCTTGGGTCCGCCCTTATATATAGACCCCATGGCCGCGACACACGTCCTCTTTCATTTTCTCGGCGGACGTCGTTATGGTTTGAGGTACAAACTTTTTGAAGTTCACTTGGTAAGTCACTGTTAAGTGTAATATCTTGCGTGGAAGTATACTCACTGGCTGTTTGCAGCCTGGAGCAGCTGGCCTTGTCCTTTCCCCTGCAGAGTGTAAGAGTATCCTGGTGGGCTTTCCACTATGTTGAGACATTAACTTTGGAGTTCCTTAACGGGGTTACTTTGTCATATGGTGTTGGTTTTACTGCTTGGATATTAAACCGGCAAGGTAATATTGCAGTTGCGTAAACCAAAAAACCAAAAAATCATTAACTGGCTGCTGTTTTTTTGTCTGCCTGTTTTTCCCCAAACGTTCTTCCCCGGTTTTTGCAGAGGTACTGGGTAATTTATCCCTCACTGGGTTCCTATTCCTCCAAGCGAGTCACGACCCTTTGTGACAGGTGTGATGGTGGCATCCCCCCCTGGGGATCCGCATACCTCGTGTATGCACTGCCTGGGTTTGAGCCACGCGGAGAGGGCGTGGAGCGCCCTACTGGATGCCTGTTTTGTGTGGTGTTCTCAGCACGCCTGCGCCAGATGCGATTGGAGGCCATGCGCGAGTGGGTCGGACAGGCTCGGGCTCAGGCTGGGGAGCTCCCTCCCTCAGGAGTGGTGCGCCAGCAAGCTGTTAGTCCCTCTACTGAGCCCAGTAGCCCTCCCAGGAAGCGTGGCCGGAGCCACCGCAGGCAGAGCCCATCTGCTGCCAGTCCGGATGGGGGCAGGAGTCGGACCGCTGGGACCACCTTGAACGGAAGGCGCATGCCCTGCGTCAGGAGGCTGATAGCTTCGGTGGCAACGACAGCTGTTCCCTGTTGGCCAGTGATAGGCTGTTCCTGGGGGACGATGCTGGCACTGTTCACCACTGTGAGTGGGGATACCAGGCTGACAGGCCATCAGAAGCTGGCAGCGGGGCTTCATCGCCCCCAGTGGCTCGAGAGGCTATGATGAACCTACTCACTCGGGCAGCCACTGCACTGGACATCAAACTGGTGGACAGTGATGACTCTCCATCTGTCCCCATCTCTGCTGAGTTCCGCAAGGTCTTGCAGGAGAGCTGGGCCTCTGCCAGGGGGCACTTCCGACTCACAGCAGAGACTGGACCATGGCGTTATGTTGCGGGCGCGGAGTCATTCGGCCTCCGGGAGTACCCGACCATGGACACCATGATAGCTGCCATGGTCCCCCCGGACCGGGAGATTATAGGGTGGAACCCGCGACTGAAGCCGGGTAGCTGCCATGGTCCCCCCGGACCGGGAGATTATAGGGTGGAACCCGCGACTGAAGCCGGGACCCCCCAGAGTCTTTGATGTGGACTTGAAAGCCACATATGGGTCCCTCTGCTCTCCTACCAACGCGGCCATGCTGTTGCAGGCCTACATGCAGACTCTGTTGCCCCGGCTGCAGGAGGGCACAGAGGAGCTCCTCCGGGAAGCGATGGAGGTGTCTCGCCTGCTGTCCCTGCTCCAGAGGGATGTGGCCCGTGCCAACGGATGGGCCATGGTGCAGGTGGTTACCTCCCGGCGCCATCTCTGGCTGGCCCAATCCCGTCTGCCAGCTGCTCTCCAGAGCACATTTGCCACTAACCCCATTGCTGACGTTTGGCCCAGGGGTTGATGACACTCTGGAGCAGACCGATAAGGTTCGTAGGGACCGGGAGACCCTAAGACGGTTCATGCCGCCTCCTCAGGCCTCGGGTCCAAGGCAGACGGACCGTTGCCACCCACCTGCACCCGAACGACGGGGGGTCCCTCTCCTGCCCCATCGCCTCGTGCTGAGGGACGACAGCGGGGACGTGCCATAGAGACGTGCCTGGGGGACCCAGGCGCTCGGGGCACGTGAGGAGAGCCGGGCCCCGGCAGGACCCCTGACACACCCTTCCTCGGCCGCTTCTCCCGGACTCGAAGGGCAAAGTGGGAGGAGGGTGTGGAGTCCCCCTGGGTGTTGTCCACAATGCTCGAAGGATACCGACTCCAATTCCAGTGCCGGCCCCCGTCCTTCAGGGGCCTTCCTGTCACTACGGTGGCCGATGCTCTGGCTCACGATTGGCCAGGGCTGGAGCTTTACGCATTACCCCCTTTTCCCCTGATCCAGGCTGTGCTGGATAGGCCCAGGATGGCAGAGCATCGTCTGCTGCTGGTGGCCCCATACTGGCCCAGACGACCCTGGTTCAGCCTTCTCCTGTCCCTGTTGTCTGGGACACCTTGGCAACTGCTCCTGAGACCCGACCTGCTGTCTCAGGCTGGGGGAACTCTGTGGCATCCGAGAACGCACCGCCTCAGTCTGTGGGCTTGGCTGCTGAACGGCACCAATGGTCCATGTTAGAACTACAGGCTGGCGTAATGAACACCATGCAGAGTGCAAGGGCACCGGCTACAACCGCGGCATACCAGTTGCGCTGGCGGTTGTTCTGCTCTTGGTGCACTGGTATTGAGGTTGTGCCGGAGTCATGCGGAGGGCAGTATGTCCTCCAATACCTGCAGTCTCGCTTGGATGAGGGCTTGGCAGCCTCTACACTGAGAGGGTATTTGGCCGCTATATCTGCCTGCCATGGGGGGTGGATGGACAGGCCAGTGGGGTGCCATCCCTTGGTCTCCAGTTTTATGAAGGGGGTTCGTCGCCTGCGTCCAGCTAGAATCCGCTCAATGGCGAGCTGGGATCTGGATGTGGTTTTGGCAGCTTTGGCAAAGCCGCCTTTTGAACCATTGGAGTCTGCCAACCTGAAACACCTCTCTATGAAGGTGGTTTTCTTGGTAGCGATTACTTCCATGAAGAGGGTGGGTGAGCTCCATGCTTTTTCTGTAAGTTCTGAGTGCTACCGGATGTACCCCGGTGGGAGGAGTATATCTCTCCGCCCAACCCTTCATACCTCCTGAAGGTTCTGTCAGACAGGCATGTGAACATCCCTTTTATCCTGTCTGCTTAAGACCCCCGGCAGTGGCGGGGGAGTCTGGGTCTCCCTCCGGCATGCTGTGCCCTGTGCGGACACTGGCTGCCTATGTGGAGCGGACACGGTCAGTGAGAACAACAGACCAGCTCTTTGTCTGCTATGGTGAGAGAGTCCTGGGGGCTGGTCTATCAAAGCAGAGGCTCTCTCACTGGATCGTGGACACGGTTACGACAGCATACCGCCTGGCTGGCAGGCCAGTGCTGGGATCTGTGGTAGCACATTCAACACGAGGTGTGGCTGCGTCCTGGGCTCTACTGAGAGGAGTGCCCCTCGCTGATATCTGTGCTGCGGCCAGCTGGGCTTCCTCTTGCACCTTTGCTAGGTACTATCGGGTAAATGTGGCACCTTCCTCTGCGGTTGGTTCAGCGGTCCTGGGTGTCGCCTCCCCTTCCGGGGACTGTGCCGGAACCCCCCTTCCACATTGACGGCCCCTGCGTCTCAGTTCCGCGCTGGGACTTCGCCGCTGGCTGGCCAGGTCCCTCTAGCACCGACTAAATCTGGAACAGGTATACCAATATATTGGAGTGATCCAATATAGTGAAACATAACGAAGGTTACATATGTAACCACGGTTATGTGAGCTATATGGATCACTCCAATCCTCTACGGTGCTAGAGGCGCTTCAAAAATGATGTAGAGAACGTGTGTCGCGGCCATGGGGTCTATATATAGGGGCGGACCCCAGCCGTGACACAGGTGTACACATGAGTAAATCTGTAAATCCTCACCTCGGATGTATCCCTCCGCCGCGGAGTGATACCAATATATTGGAGTGATCCATATAGCTCACATAACCGTGGTTACATACTTACCAAATCGATCTGCTGAATGTTCCGGATGTAGCCAAGGCCTGGTCATCATACCAAAGTACAAGTATTGAATTATGTTTTGCTTGGTTACTATTCAGCTCACCCACAAAATCACATTTGCAACATAGTATTTCTATTTAAAATGGGCTTTACTAACAAAACAGGACAAGCTGGGGCATGAATAATAGAGCTCTGCTGAACAAAATAGCTGAATTACATTCATTTTAAAGTGAATACAAGGAATTAAATTACAAAAGCACAGGAAGAACTACAATGCCATGGATACTTCCCCATGCCATAGAGATGACACATCCAGTGGTGCAAGCAGGGGAAGCTCAGCAACAATAATCAGAGTACCAGCTAAAGCTTAAGCATCAGGCATGTATAGACATATAAGCATGTTAACATTTGGTCCTTTTTCAAGAATCTGCCCACAAAATGAATAAGTAATAGCCAGATTGGACATACAGTAAAATCATCCCATGGCATTAAAGAAATATGCATACCATACAGTAAAATAAAACATCTCATGGCGT